TTATCACAGTGTTTTGACTGGACCGAGCGGAGCCGGGTATACCAGCTAGTAATCACTCTAACGAAGGAAAACGTTACAAAAAAAAATTATTCTTCAAATTTATTGGAATTATCGTAAGGCTCATTGATAATGAAATGCATATTCAATTGTGCACAAATTCTTATACATGCAGTTGACTGCAAGGCGAGAAAACAACCAAATAATATTCTTAACATAAATACACGTTCAAAGGCGGCAGCACATCGGCCAACGGCTAGCAAATGAGGATAGAGGTCAGTATTACCTAGTGAATTTAGGGGGCAGTTATGAGAATGGAGCGTTTGCGGTGCACTGCTGATATAAATAGAAATCTTATAAACAATGCTATAGAGGATTGTGCGGAATCTAGAGAATAATGTAAAGCGAATGTGTTGTATTAAATTGTCTAGATATGGCTAGTCTTTGCTTTTTCGATTCTGGGAAGAATGCGTCGTCAAAAGTGCTTGATGAGGTATATGTTAGCATCCTTTGACAGCGACATTTGTCGGACATTCACAGCTTACTCCTTCTTGTCCGGGTAAGCATAGGTATGAGCATCCACCGTTGCCAACAGAGCAAGCAGTATGGGCTGAAACAGACAAGAAATTGTCGTGAGTCCAACTCAAGCATAGACTGCACCAATTGTCAGTCAGTCTTTAAAAACTCTAGAAAAAAGTAAGAAATATTGGCGAATTATGGCGCGACTTCCAATTACCTCTCGAAAGGGGTATTTGATGATTGGGCGCTGTTATGCCATTATGGCCCACCCATACTAGGTTCACTTGGTCCACTTGATCCACTTCGCTATTGGTCCAATCAGTGAACTGACCAATAGCGGAGTGGATAAAGTGGATCAAGCGGACCAAGAGGACATCCGTTTCGCCATTGGTCAGTTCAGTGATCCGGCCAATAGCGGAATGGATGAAATGGTCTATAAATCAAATGGACTTCCGCTTCACTATTGGTCACTTTACTGATCTGGCCAATAACGAAATGGATGAAGTGAATGGATCAAGTATGGCGTGTACCTGTAAACGAGTGTCCGATCAAAGAGCCATCTCGTGCGCATCGCCTGACCGGGCAGAACAACCGGGTAGACGAGATCGGGCGCTGCTACCGGATCAGGCAATGTGCGAAAATTATAGATCAGGCGCCATCGCCCGATCGAGCGCTTTTGCACAATGGTAAATCAGCGCTTGATCAAGAAAAGCTGATAAGTGCCGCTCCCGGAATCTGATCTAGTGTCTGAATTGTGAACCAAAAGCTGCAGATCGGGCGATGGTGCCCAATCTATGATGAGATTGGAACATCGCCAGATTGGGTAACTCCCCCGGCCGGGCGGCTGTCAGACCAGACTTTAAGTTCCGCCGATTAGTGTTAACGAACTAACTTCGGTTGAGAGGGCAAAAAGACACAAATATGAATCTACCACATCTTATAAGACGTTTTATTAATATTTTGTGCAGTGATTTATGCCTTTTATGGATTTCGCTTTCAAACTAAACTAAATCGACTAGTTTGCTAGCACTAAAATCCTTTGAAAATATGTCTTTATGGAAGAACATGAAAAAAAAAACTTACGTCCTATGCATTGTTTTGGGACACTCAGTATCCCGTACACTTTGCCTGACCCTCCTAGTGAAATTGGGAATGATGCGTAGCCTTCGCCATAGATTCCGACCGAATGAACGCGGTTACTGTAATATTTTGCAAAATATTATATGGTTACCAGAT